GATTTAGCTAGGCTATTTGTTTATTTGTTGCAAATTGCGCCCTTTGCGTTGAAATTACACAGGGCGGTTAGATGGCGAAGAGAAGGGAACAATCCTTTTGCGCTCAAATCTTCCCATTCCAAGAAGCTATTCTTCTACTTCCAGCTCCATTTTACTTCCCTCCATCAACTAGCGCCCCACCGATCGTTCCAACCATTCCTCTCTCTTCCAGTTAGTGTCACCAACCCAACAGACAACAACACGCCTACCATTTGCGCCCTGCAATATGCAAAAATGTTTGTCTGTCTGTCTGATGACGTCGTGTGTGTGTGTGTGTGTGTCTGTCTGTGTCTGTGTGTGTGTGTAGATGTTTATATGTCAAATATGTTTACATTGTTCAATGTCGCGACGTCTAGTCTCAGTCTCGTTCTATTTTTGACATAAACACAAATATCGGATTGAATTCAGAGAGAGGGAGAGAGAGAGAGAGAGAGAGAGAGAAAAGAAGAGAGGTTAAGGAGGAAACAATGCATTTGAAGATTGTTATGCAAAGAGACAAACAAAAAAGATACTACTGCTTGTTTGTTAACTTTTAAATTTGTTGTTAGGAGTAAATGACGTATGTATGCAATAAGAGGAAGAAAAGAAAAGAAAGCATTTGATGTGATCGTCTTACCGTGTGATCATCTCTTACCGGATTAACTGGAATCGGATCGAATCGGATCGGATCGGATCGGATCGGTGGTGACAATTATAGCTGTGACAAATAGTGCGTGGTGGTATTGACAGGTGACGATGGTAGGAGAAGGAGGAGGAGAAGGACAAGGCTGCGTGGTTAATGTTTGTCGGCAATGTCCCATTTTCAGAAAACAAAAACTTGATGCAATGGACGTTTTGGGTGTGTGTGTGTATGTATGTGTGTGTGTGTGTGTGTATGTGTGTGTGTGTGTGTGTGTGTGTGTGTGTGTGTGTGTGTGTGTGTGTGTGTGTGTGTGTGTGTGTGTGTGTGTGTGTGTGTGTGTGTAATTTTGAATTTTCATTAGAATTGAAATTGTAATTCAAAAAAATTAAATTTATCTTTCATTTTCAATTTCATCTTTTTTTTTTGTTAATATCACAAGTAGTAACAATATGTATGGATGATGATATCATAACAGATGGTGTCAAATGTCATTAATACTTAGCACTAAAAGGTTAAAGGTTAAAGGTTAATGTTAACCGATGAAAGTAAACCCTTATAAGCATATAAGATGATTAAGTGCTGGGAGAAAGAAAAGATAGCTGAATAATGATAATAGCTTGAAGAAATTTTAATTTGAAACAAATTTTTAAAAAAAAAAAAAAAAATTGAAAAAAAAAGTTTTGCATTGCCTTTTTTTTTTTTGTTTATTTGTAAACAAAAGATACTTAGTAGTATGATAATTGGGATATTATATTAATTTAGAATGTAATTTTGTAAGAAAGAAAATATTTATATTCCTTTCAGACTAAACAAACTTTCTGAGAGAGAGAGAGAGAGAGAGACGAATCTTTGCTTCTGTTATTGTTGTAGAGTGTTGCATGCATGCAAAACATGCATGCATGCAAGTTTTGCATTTTATCGTGCTGCTTATTTCTTCATATTTATTACACTCATTCACAAATTCAAATCCTAGAAGAAATGTATAAAATTTAAGAACGATTTTTCGTATATTTAATGAATTTTGTAAATATAATTGTCATATTGTCACATTATTGATTGTCTTAAAATGCTGCGCTGTTGTTGAATGATTAATTTTAATTTTACTTACCAATAATAAATCTATTTTTCAATTAATTTTGAAAAGTGATTGATCGTTATGATGAAAAATAAGTAAATAAATAAAAAGTTAGATGAAGAGAATTAGCATATTTGACATCTTCAGTTCTTTGCTTAATTACTTATTACTTTTAGATTAAAGTGTTAGTAACACTGAATGACAAATGCCCTTCAGACTAATTTCACTGATTGATTTTAAATTATTTGTTGTTAGACCATTTTCATTTACAGCAATAATTCAGCTAATATTTTAGAGGCCAAAACAAAAAAATTAATTGCCCAGTACTTTTCTCTCATTCTCTCATATTTTCTTTTTATTTTCTTATAAGAAAAGAAGAAATTTTGGAAATTGCTTTACTCGGTTGGGCTTAATTTCCTTGTGCGGAAAATGCTTTTGGCCAGAATGAATGATGGAAAGAAGATAACAACAAGCAAAAGAGAAGTAAACAAAGCCTAAAACTTGTATAGCTGATTTGTTTCAAAAAAGTTACTATTGATGAAATGTGTATGTGTGTGTGTGTGTGTGTGTGTGTGTGTGTGTGTGTGTGTATGTGTGTATGTGTATGTATGTGTGTATATGTATGTGTATGTGTTTGTGTGTGTGTGTTTGTTTGTTTACAAACGAAGGGTCATTCTCCACTGATTTGTTTACAATCTTTCCTGAATATATTATATTCATCTTAGATTATTTGAAGATATTTGTATAAGAATAAACTTACTTATAATCAAAGATACCTATAATCAAATGAACTTACTTGTAATCAATGGTACTTAAAATCAAATAAACTTACTTGTAATCAATGGTACTTAAAATCAAATAAACTTACTTGTAATCAAAAATTGAGGAAATGAAGATGAGATGGTAATTGAAGAAAGAAGGTTTTCTTTTTTTTAGAGAAGTAGATGATAATTTGAGGAAAGTTTTAGAGTAATTAAGGAAGTTATAGATTGTATTTTATTATCTATTCTTTTTGTTTATTCTTATTAATTAACTAAAGTGGTTTAAAAAAAAAAAGGCTATAATTACTTTTAGTATTACAAAAGGTAAATTAGCTATTGTTCAATTTAAATTTTAGCATATTATTCATTCAACTACATCTGTTATTTCAAACTATTTTGTAATAAAAATGAGAAAAAAAAAAAAAGAATGGAAGGAATTTTGTTTACATAAAGAATGAGTGAATCCCTTTTTCTATGTTTGGCTGTTACTGTTATCAATCTTATGCTATGCTAACGAAATGAACTAATTGATTGATGACAATTGGAAATGTTTGCTTCGTAATATTTGTCATCGTGATGAAACCAATATGATAATGTCGAAGATAAGACACACACACACGCACACACACATATGTTTCTATTATAGATTGAAAAATTTTCTTCAATTACAGCATTTTTTTGCTTTTCTTATTGTTATTTATTTGAAACATTCTTGCGCATTTCTTTTCCATTTTTTTTTTCCGCTTCTTTTACTCAGATTATTCAGGAAAATAAACCAAATGAAGTGAAAAACAATGAAATTTCTGAATGCAATTTACCTTAATAATTAATCACATACCTTTTAATACCTGGTTTAAAAGAGTTTTATGAATGCTTAAAGGTGAAACACCTTGCTGAAACACCTTTCCATAATGTCATTTTGTTTGTCATTCTTCATAGCAGACGATAACATTGACTATCGATAGTGCATGCCATCGTCTAAATCAAAATTCACCATCATCATCATCAGCAACACTTTACCAAATACCGTACAGAAGAAGCCCTCTCTCTCTCTCTCTCTCTCTCTCTCTCTCTCTCTCTCTTGTGAAAAAAAGAAGAAAATAATTGGTGTGGTTGCAAAGAAATGATCAACAACAACAATAACAACAACAACAACAACCTGTCTGTTGCTTCTTCTTGTTCATGAAGAAGAAGAAAGAAGAGAAGTAGTTATCACTTTACAATGTATCAATTAGCTTTTACTTACTTTTATCAAATTCAATCAAATCAATGATTGTACTATTTCATATCATATTATTCTATATCATCATTTTTTTTTTCCTTTTTCTATGACAATAAGTATTACTAAGCAATTAAGAATATATTAATAAGAATGAAATATTTTTTTTTTTTTTTAATTGATTTTATGGTACTTTTAATGTTATAAAGTTACATTTGCGCTCTATAAAATTACATTTGCGCCACACTTGAAAGCAATATGATCGTTGTACGTTGAGTGGTACAAAGGTAGTAGTACGTAGTGCTACGTAGTAGAATGATGAAAGTTAGAGGAGTGTAATTGATTGGTTAGCTTGGTTGATTGGTTCATTGGTTCATTGGTTGGTTGGTTGGTTGCTTATCCATCTGAAAATGTTTGCACGGCTCCTTTTCATCTGTTTATATGAATGAGAATAGTGCTGTGCTATTTGAAGCAAGCTAATATGCATTGCATTTGCATATTAGCTTGCTTGCCTACCTACCTGTTATTATACTCTCTTCTACAAATGAAACACAAATGCTTTTACTACTTTATAATTTTTAGTTTAGAGTAGAGTAGAGTAACATTTACTACTTTATCATTTTATAATTTATAGTTTAGAGTAGAGTAGAGTAACATTTACTACTTTATCATTTTATAATTTTTAGTTTAGAGTAGAGTAGAGTAACATTTACTACTTTATCATTTTATAATTTTTAGTTTAGAGTAGAGTAGAGTAACATTTACCTACTAAATTCATTAGTTTACTCAATTTGTTTATCCAAAAGATATACATTTGTTATCATATCATTGATAAAGATAATTTTCCTTCATTTAATTAGGTTCTCTGTGTTGCGTTACTTACGATTTACACGTTACGTACGTATCGTTACGTGTCGTTCGTTACGTATAAAATAATGAAATATTATTAACTAATTGTAACATTTTTCTTCTTTCAGTTTGCAAAATATTTTGAGGACGCATAAAAGATCTAATTGTGCGTGTAATTAAATTAATTCAATCAAAGCAGTATCTCACAAAAATCAAAAAAAAAAAAAAGATCGACAATATTTATTCTCATGCATTATTGTTGTTGTTGTTGTTGTTGTTGCTGTTATTGTTACCTTTATGCGTAAAAAGTTTACAAATTTTTAATTTAATCTTTTGAAGAAAAAAAAAAAAAATACAAAAACGTATATTATAAAACAAATCTAAAATTGTAGCAACAGTGGCGGTAAAGTTACCATCTCAGACAAACAATACGAACCGGTGAAGTAGTACCTGTTGAAAGTAAACATTAGCATAAGTACAGGTAACTGAAACAGCAGTAACAACAACAACAACAACAACAGCAACAGCAACAACTATTACCATTATCATTATCACTAATTACCGCCAACAATTGTGACAATACAGTTTGCTTATCATTTCACTGTTCAGTTTGTGTCGATTAGATCAAAGTTAGTTCAATTTGACTGAAACGAAAGATAATTCTTCTCATTTTTATAATTTTTAAAAAAAAGGAAAATGAATTTAAAATAAATGAGTTAATTATTTTTTTTTTCTTTGTTTGATACCTGTATGTTAATATATACTACTAGCTAGTAGTAGTAGTAGTTGTGATGTTAGTTTGTAATTAGTACCAAGTTGTGCCTGTCCCTAAATATGCCATCTCATTCTCGAACAGAAAGAAGGAACTTAGAAAATAAATAAATGAAAATGACAAACAAAAGAAATTTAAAACATTCCAATGGCTATTATCATCATCATCATTATCATTACTTACTTCAAATTAACTATTATCAATTTGATTGATTTTTTTTTCTATTTCTTCTTATCATTATAATCAGTTTGAAATGAAAAATAGCAAAAAAAAAAAAAAAAAAGAAAAAAGTGGAATTAGTAAAAAATTTTTATTTTAGATAAAATAAAAGAAAAAAAAAAATAAAAAAATGAAATCTAAAAGAAACTTTCAAAAATTTTCCAATGTTATATTACAAAAAAAGAAAAAAAAAGTTAAAAATTGAGAAGAAAGCAAAAATTTGGGAATTATTTTTTCTTATTATTACTACTATCAAAGTAACATTCACATTCACACTTTACCTTCATCAATAAAAGTTTTAGTTTAAAAAAAAAATTGGAAATATTCTTTTTTTTTTTTTTTTTTTTTTTAAAACCAATAAAAGTGTTTGATAATTTTCTTTCTCAATTTTCTTCACTAAATTTCTTCTCCTCTTTTTTTTTTTTTTTTTCAATTTTTATTTAAATGAATGATAAGGTGTAGTAGGAATAAGAACAAAGAATTTTTTATCAGGAGAATTGGATCAATTATCGATCAGTAAATATCAGTTCAACAAATGTTAATGTATAAATATATGATGTGGTCATTAAATATAGCATTTTTCATCCTTATCATCCTTTCTGGTTTGTTTTTCTTTTTTCATTTTCAATTTATTTATTTTTTTATTTATTTATTTTCATTTTCAATTTATTTGTTTATTTTCATTTTCAATTCATTTATTTATTTATTTATTTTCATTTTCAATTCATTTATTTATTTATTTATTTTCATTTTCAATTTGTTTATTTTTTTATTTTCATTTTCAATTTATTTATTTTTTATTTATTTATTTTCATTTTCAATTTATTTATTTATTTATTTATTTATTTTCGTTTTCAATTCATTTATTTATTTATTTATTTTCATTTTCAATTTGTTTATTTATTTATTTTCATTTTCAATTTATTTATTTATTTATTTTTCAGTGATATTTGCATATTCCCAAACAATAATAAATAAATGTTAAAATATTAGTTTTTTTTTCAGTGAAATCTCTTCATTTAATCAATGATTTAAATGTTTCTTTTTTTTTTTTTTTTAAGAAATAACAAAAATCTTAGAATACTCCATGGAAATTAAAAAAAAAAATTTTTTTTTGAGAATTTTTAGAATTTAAAAAAATGCAAATGTATTTCATAAATTTATTTCATTTTTTACAATAATATAATTCATTTAATGAATAATTTTTTTTTTTCTCTTTTAAGAAACACATTCATCAGGTGTTGCTATACATGAATTATTAGAGCAATATCTTGGTGTCGCATGTCAACGAGAAAGGTTTCACTTCTGATTCACTTGAAAATATTTGTTAAAATATTTTTTTAATGACAAAATGAGATTGACATTTTTTTCGTTTTGTTTTTGTTTTCTTTTTTTCTAGCAAAAATTTATGAATTATTTTTTGTTATCAAATAATAATAGGTTAATTGATGTGTAATTTTATAGGATAAGTGTACAGTTAACATTCAACCGGAAAAGACATCCGGAAATGACAAAATCAATTCGTGAAATGATTTGGCGTGGTCGAATGTGCATTGGAGATGATCAATCTGGCTCATGTTGTTCACAACTTAATATGATACAAGATGTAAGCTAGCATTTTCATTTTCATTTTTAACAATAAAATATGAACTTAGAAGTAGTTGGCCGAGAGTGACAAAGGTCATGACCCGATGACCAAACTTGTTTATCTTCTATCAAGCTTGTTTATCTGTTTATTAGTTGCCCGAGAGTGACAAAGGTCATGACCCGATGAACTGTCATCGGTTCTTAATGAGCATTGTGAATCTATCAGACTTGTTTATCTTCTATCAAGCTTGTTTATCTGTTTATTAGTTGCCCGAGAGTGACAAAGGTCATGACCCGATGAACTGTCATCGGTTCTTAATGAGCATTGTGAATCTATCAGACTTGTTTATCTTCTATCAAGCTTGTTTATCTGTTTAGTAGTTGGCCGAGAGTGACAAAGGTCATGACTCGATGACCAAGCTTGTTTATCTTAATTATGAAAAGAATAGAGTCATTTATTTATTTTATTTATTTTTTTTTTTTTTTTTTTTTGCTAGGAGGAAAAGCTATCACTTATTTGACATTTTTTTTATTACATTCATATGATCACATCTGTTCTCGAAGTAATTATAATTTTTAGTTTATTTTAGACAAATGCTAATCTCTAAAATAATAATTAATAGTATTATTTATCAACAAAATTAATTGTCCAATTATTCATTTTAATTTTTTTCTCCACAAAGATTTGTACTTTGTTTTTTTAAAAAAAAAAAATTTTAAATTTTTTTGATATTTCAGTATCATGTAGTATTAGTTGGCTATAGTAAATGTGGTATAGAGAAGACATTCTTTGCTGGTGGCTTCAATTTTATTGCTAAGGTTAAAATTTTTTACATTAAAAAATTTATATCTTTCTTTTGTAAACAATTTTTTTTTTTTTTTAATTTTATCATCTCGTATGATTTAATTTGATTCAAATATGGAAGTAGAAGTTTACGTAAGCGTACGTAAGCCTTATCTACTATTATGGCTTATTTACCTACGTGTTAGCTAATGTACATAACTTATTTGTAGTTGAAATTTATTTACCTACTAAACTAAAAGCAATTAAAAAAAAAACAAATTGTGGTTGTATTAAATTACGTCAAAAATTATTTCTTAGTTCAAGCTAATTGAGATAGATGGATGATTTCTTTTAATATTTATATTAAATTTTAATTTTTATATTAAATTTTAATTTTTATATTAAATTTTAATTTTTATACTAAATTTAAGGTTTATTTCTGGGGTATTGGTAATGTAAATGAGCAATTTGAGATACAATGTGCGGTACCATTCGTTGAATCTCACGTTAAAGTAAGTTTTATTTTTGATAAACAAATCTCTTCCATATTTTTTTTTCTTTTTTTTTTTTTTAAAGTTATTTTCAGTAGAAAATTCATTTCAGAATAAAATTGTTGTAATTTTTTTAAAAAAATTTTTTTTTTTGCTTCTTTAGTATTTTTTCTTTTAGTTGCAAAATTTTTAATGTGTAATAATCAAACGAATTGATTTAAAATTTTACAATGACTCAAATGAAGAATTTTACAAGAGTTAACGAATTAAAATTTAATTTTAATTTTACATCTAGCAAGCAAGATGGCTAATTAATTAGATATTTGTTCATCTTTGATGTTATCTCCTTTGATCACTTTACACAAGAAGAACCGCCATATTATCTATGTATTGATTTTATAGGATGTCAATTGATTGATCGATCAATCGATCAATCGATTGATTGATTGATTGATTTATTTTTGTAGATAATTTGTTGTCATTTATTTGTGCAGGCAAAAATGATAGCATCTCGTAAACCGATCCGGTTATCATCTATGGATTTTGTTAACATTCATCAATCATCGTTATCATCAACGCAACCACTTTCCGTCCGGTTAGGAAGTAATTTGCATATTGCTATCGAACCAACTCTTGAAGGGATGCAAAAAAGTAAGAACCCTTTCAGTACTAAAACAGTATTTAATTTTTAAATATAACATTTTCTAGAAGAAAAAACCAAAAATAAAAATTTTGATAAGTAAATTGTACTCAGTTGATTTACTCTAAATAAGTTAGATTAACTCTTTGCGAATATTTGTTCTGGATCAGTTAAGATAATTTAAATTATTTGTATGAGAAGAAAAATTAAGTAATATGTAGAGATATGCAAAAAACGGAATTGAAATAAGGTTAGAAATCAGGTATGTCATATCAATTTCTTGATAATATTACAAACTATCATATCACCAAAAAAAAAAAAAAAAAATTTATTAAAATAATAAAAAAAATAATTTTTCAGGATTACACACATATCCATTACGCTGTTGGATTACCGTTCCTGAAATTGTTATTCCTGAAACAGTAACTTCTGCTACTTCTGGCAAACAATTAGCAAATTCTGTTGTAGATTTAGCTCGTAGGTTGGTATTAATTTTAAACTTTTTTTTTTCATTTCTATTTTTTAAATTTAAATTTAGTTAGTACTTATTTTTTGTAGAGTTAAAAATAAAAAGTAAGTAAATTTGTTTGCAGATATTTCATAGAAGATGGATGTCCATCTACTGATCATAATTCAGTGTTAGCATTTTTAGAACAAGTAAGTTATTCCTGTTATTTCAATTAAAATTTTTGTTTCTGTCTCTAACTTTTTATGGCTGCATTGGAATCCTGAAAACGGATCATGAAACAGGAATAAGTACCTTAAACGTTTAAACGTTAAAAAACGTTAAAAAAAAAAAAAAAAAACAGGATAGGCTTATGAAAAAGCATACGAAAATTTTTAGCAATTATCAGTAACAGTAGTTATACCGTATTTCTTCTCAATTACCGGATTATAATACCATATCTTCTTTTCTGAATTCATCATATTAACCATAACTCTGATTATAATTTACCACTCCTTTAACTTTTAACTTTTTAACGATTCAATTTTTTTTTTCCGATTTCAGAAAACGGGTACTGATCGTTATGCGGAATGGACTAAAATAAAAATTCC